GTCGGTCATGATTATAAACCACACCCAAGTTAATAAAACACTAACTAGAATGGGTGGAGAGTCCCAAGACGGCGAGGCAGAGCGAGTAGAGTATTTCTGAAAAGAACTGGCTAAAGCAGCTTCAAGGAGTCCAAGGATCAGTAACAGCAAGAAGAATAACAACTCAAGAACACTGCAATCGGGTGCTGTGCTTCAATACCGCACCGTTTTCAATTAAAATAGCATCTAGCTAGTTGCTATGGCAATTGCTAGCCGCGGGAAAAAATCGCGAATATTAGCAGCCGCGAATATAACCCGACCTACGGTATATCCCGACCTACGGTATCTTCTAATTATTCTTGCAGTGGCGTAGCCAGGATTTTTGGAAGGCGTTACTAGAATGCGGATCAGTGCGGATTGCTGCGGATCGTTCCGCACGCTGAACCAATTAAGCACGTGAACGCGCGGAACGTGCACGGGCGTGTGCCTAGAATGCGGATCAACTCCCAAAAATTCAGAATATACACCATAACTTCCCGCGGATCAGTCCTCTTGTTCTTCTATTCCATTCAATCTTTATTTGTTGCAATGTTTAACTCTTTATAAAGTAAGAATAACTATTTTAACTGTAATAATTTTAAACTTTGAATGTACGAGATTTCAGTGATGATATCAAAAGCCTTTAGTCATTGGTCATAGAATAGATTATACTGCATCTAGATCTAGTTGCAATGAAATGAGTTACAATCTGCATCAAAAACAAATACATAGTTGTAAAATTTAAACAATAAAAGTCGCCTCACAAATAACAATTATTTTCATTGTGTAAAAATGATTATTATGATATTACCAAAAATATAAAATATTCTATTGGCCAAAAATTACTACCACCTATCATTTTTATTTGAAAGTATTCCTTTTACATAATTACAAATACTGCTCTGATTGCATTAAGATATTTAATGTAGATAAGTGTTTATAATGCTCTTATAAGCAACTTAGACTGATAGCAAATCTTTACATCAGTGGCTGATATCATTATCTCTTAAAAGTTGCTTAAGGAACTAAGATAATTCAGTTTTGGCAGCAATTATCAATGAACAGTATGAAAGTAGCTAACAAAAT